GTCGCCGAAGCAGCTGCGCTGCGCTCCCGCGCGTTCACCACCTCACATCTGCACTCTCGTGTCTTTCGGGTATATAAGGTAAGGTAAGGTAAGGATAGGTAAACGTCTCCACACACAAAAAGTGGTGGGGCAAGGGGGGGCGACCCTCGCATCTCCACGCCCCGGCCCGGGACACGGGCAGGAGCCCCACGGCATTCAAAGTCGTGCAAGCACCGGCCCCGCCCGGTGCCGTGGGTGAGCAACCTGCACCCCACTCCCTCCCTCCCAGACACAACCCGCACACAACCCCCACAGCGTGGTTTCTTTGTTTACGATTTGGAATTTGGGCCTGTGGGCAAACGCGGGCCACTTGTGACGGGGGCGGGCGCGAAAAATAAAAAACCCTGACGCAAACACGTCGCTCAGAGGTAGAGAGGAAAGGGCCCACGGCTGCCCAGAGGTAAAGGTAAGAGGGCCGCAGGCCCTCAGAGGTAGAGGTAACCTAGACCCCTCCTACCCGGCCCTCAGGGCCGAACATGAACGTGCACAAAACGCGCACATCAACGAGTGAGGGGCCCGCAAACCTCGCGAACCTTAGCGGCGCTATGCGTCGCCTGCCACGGCGCAGGCCCACCAGGCTGAGGTGCGTGCGGGCCTTGGCGCTGGGGCGTGGCGCGCGGTCTCCCCCGATTGCGACCCCTGCTGACTGCTCGGCTCAGCGGATCGCCGCGAGACGCGCCATCTCGCTGTCGGTGAGCTCGAAGCTGAACACGCCCTCGAGGTCGTCGACCATGTGCTCCTTCTTGTCGCTCTGCGTGACGACGGGCACGCCCTGCTGCACGAGCCACCGCAGCGCGACCGCCGCCGCGGTCCGGTTGTGTGCCTACGGCGTTTGAAGACAGCCCACTGCTTCTCGTCCACCTGGTGATGCGGTGGGGCTCCCTCCCGCGGAAAAATGGGGAGATATGGGGAGATATGGGGAGATATGGGGAGATATGGGGAGATATGGGGAGATACGGGGAGATATGGGGAGATATGGGGAGATATGGGGAGATATGGGGAGATATGGGGAGATATGGGGAGATATGGGGAGATGTGGGGAGATGTGGGGAGATGTGGGGAGATATGGGCTCCCTCCCGCGTCAGCGTGCTGGCGGCCCTGCTCTGTAGCATCAGGTGTGCGAAGGAAAGAGTGGGCTGGTTTGAAGACACCCACGCGAGGGCGTGAGTACGGTGTTGTGCTGATGTGCGGAGTACTCGGAGCACCGTGTGAGTACGAGGGAGAGGCGAGTACAGCCGAACACAGCTGAACACGGCTGAATGCGGCGAAACCGGCTGAGTGCGTGTCCTCTCGAGTGCTGGTAGGGATACGCGGGTCTGTATTCCGCATCAATGGCCGCGCGCCGCCGCGACCGCCCTCACGTTTGTATCGCTCAGCACCCTCGGCACACCGCCCGGCGCCGCCGAGCCGAGCGGGCTGTACGCCTAGGCACGGCCAAGTCCCCTGCGCCTTCCCACGCATACAAGGTGGCGGGGCGAGGGCCAGGCAGCCCTCGCGACTCCACGCCGAAACGACGGGAGCGCCACGGCATTGAACGTGCAAGGCCCGGTGCGCGTGGGTGAGCGGTGTGGGGGAGAGATGGGGAGACATGGGGAGACATGGGGAGATATGGGGAGAGATGGGGAGATATGGGGAGACATGGGGAGATATGGGGAGACATGGGGAGACATGGGGAGATATGGGGAGATATGGGGAGACATGGGGAGACATGGGGAGACATGGGGAGACATGGGGAGACATGGGGAGACATGGGGGGAGACATGGGGAGAGAGTCCGCATCTAGGGGCGGTGCGCCATCAGGGTGATGTTGTGCCGTCGGCATGCGGCGAGGGTGGCGTCATCGCGGCCCCACGTCTGGTTCCTGTACCTACGAGTTGAAGACACCAGCCTCGGGGCGGGAGATATGGGGAGATATGGGCAGTCTACGAGTTGAAGACACCAACCTCAGGGCGGGAGATATGGGGAGATATGGGCAGTCTACGAGTTGAAGACACCAGCCTCGGGGCGGGAGATATGGGGAGATATGGGCAGTCTACGAGTTGAAGACACCAACCTCAGGGCGGGAGATATGGGGAGATATGGGCAGTCTACGAGTTGAAGACACCAGCCTCAGGGCGGGAGATATGGGGAGATATGGGCAGTCTACGAGTTGAAGACACCAACCTCAGGGCGGGAGATATGGGGAGATATGGGCAGTCTACGAGTTGAAGACACCAGCCTCAGGGCGGGAGATATGGGGAGATATGGGCAGTCTACGAGTTGAAGACACCAGCCTCAGGGCGGGAGATATGGGGAGATATGGGCAGTCTACGAGTTGAAGACACCAGCCTCAGGGCGGGAGATATGGGGAGATATGGGCAGTCTACGAGTTGAAGACACCAGCCTCAGGGCGGGAGATATGGGGAGATATGGGCAGTCTACGAGTTGAAGACAACTCCTCGGGGCGGGAGATATGGGGAGATATGGGCAGTCTACGAGTTGAAGACACCAGCCTCGGGGCGGGAGCACGAGCGACACAACGACAGCGAATCGAGCCGGAGACGGTCGAATACGGCGGAAGACGTGTCCTCTCGAGCCCGCCGGTTGGAGCACATGAATACGCCTTTTCCGCCTCTAGGCTCCTGTGCCGGATGCCAGAGTGGCCGGCGACGCTGAAGCCGCACTGCGCGCCACGCGGAGTCGCGGGTGATAGCAGGGTGAGAGGGGAGGATGGCAGGGTGAGAGGGGAGGATGGCAGGGTGGGAGGGGAGGATGTGGGAGGGGAGGATGGCAGATGGCAGGGTGGGAGGGGAGGATGGCAGTGTAGGAGGCGGGTGGTCCAGCTGCGCACACCTGGTTGACGGCGGGCCGGACCTAAGGAAAGGTCTCCGGTGGACGTCTCCACACACGAGGTGGTGGTCGGGAAAGGGGCCGGGCAGGCCTGGCGACTCCACGTCTAGACGACAGGAGCCCGACGGCATTCAAAGTGCAAGGCCCGGTGCGCGTGGGTGAGCGGTGTGTGTGTGTGTGTGTGTGTGTGTGTGTGTGTGTGTGTGTGTGTGTGTGTGTGTGTGTGTGTGTGTGTGTGTGTGTGTGTGTGAGCTTCTGAGCTTGTGTTGGACCTTGACATGCGGCAGAAGGCTCTCGATGGCCGAAGCGTTAAAGTTCGAAACGCCGATCGCCCGCGCGCGGCCGTCGAGGGCGAGCCGCTCCAGCACACGCCACGTCGCAACCGTGTCGGCGGTGCTGTCGCACGGCCAGTGCATCAGGAGGAGGTCGACGAACGGCATGCCCAGCACGCTGAGGTCGTGCGCCACGTCGGCTGCCGTCTCCTCGGGGCTCCTTCTCGCGTGGCAGTGGTTCGAGTAGACGTCGTCCTTGACGAACGACGAGGCGCAGCATGGCACCTTGGTCGTCACAAACACCGCCGAGCGCGGGAGCCCAGAGGTGGCGACGGCGCGGCCAAGCTCCGCCTGGTATTTGTCGCCATAGTCGAAGGCCGTATCGAGCCCTCTGCCGCCAAGCGCGAGGAAGAGGGAGTGCTGCATCGTGATGCCGAAGCTGAGCATGGGCATGAGGACGGACGGCGCGATCTCGACAGAGGGCACTGGCTTTGCCGTCATGCTGGCGAGCATCATGCTGGCGAGTAGAGGCCCCGCCCACCCAGGGTAGAGGGTACCCCTCTCGAGCCTCGAGGGACCCATTGGTCACGGGCTCGCCGGGGCTCTGCTCCAAGAGACCTCGAGAGTGCGTGCGTGTGCCTCTACTCGCCAGAGCATCATGGGGTTGTCCATCGCAGCCTTCGATGTTATGAAACAAACGCAAGGCGGACATGGCATATCGCTCTCGGGCCCACAGACATCCCAATTTTTTTCACGTCCTGGCAGGGTCCTGGTCGTGTCCGCCACATGCGACCAACGCACATGCGACCGATGCGCCCCCAACGATGCCGCACCTGCGGCAGCGAGTTTTGCTCGAGAAATAAACTCTTTGCCCATCTCCGCGAAGAGGGGCACGATGACGGCCAGCAGACTTCGACCACACAGAGCCGTCGGAAGGGCGAGCAGCAAGACACACCCGCAACCCGATGCCCGCAAAGCTGCTGCCGCCGCGTGTCTACGAGCGGTCTCCCTGGCGGCTGCCGGTCTTCGATGACATCGCTCGCACGGCACGCATAGAGCGCGTCGACATCTTTGGCGACGGGACCGCGTTCATTCTCCGCAACGTCCTCAGCCCCGCAGAGTGCGAGCGCTACATTGCCGCCGCAACAGAGATAGGCATGACCTCGGTGCAGGCGGACGGCTACGAGCGGCGAGTGCGCGTGTGCAGCCGTGTCGCGGCCTCCTCCGAGCCTCTCGCTGCCCTCCTCTACGCTCGGATCGCGCCCTTTCTCGCGCGCGACGTCGACCTCTTGTCGGCCGACCACAGCACGCGCCCAAAAGGTATCCCGGCGGACCGGACACGCGCCGTGTGGAGGCCACACGGCCTGAATGAGATGTTCCGCATCTGCAGCTACAGTCCCGGGGGCCATTTCGCTCCACACCTCGACGGCGGCCATGTCCGCTCGCCCTCGGACGCGTCGCTGCAGACGTTCATGCTCTACCTGAACGACAGCTTTACCGGAGGCAGCACTCGCTTCTTTGACGACTCGCAGGCCGCCTACCGCTCGCCCGATGCGCGCAAGGTGATTTTCACGTACGTTCCACGCCGCGGCGACGCGCTTATCTTCAACAGCGAACTCCTGCACGACGGCGAGGCTCTGCTCACCGGACACAAGTTTATCATGCGCTCCGAGGTCATGTACACGTGGCAACGCACGGCGGCAGAGGCCGCCCTTGGCCACCTCTTTGACGCGCTGGGTGGAAGCGGCGCCGCTTCCGGTGTGGAGCAGACGGTGGCTGCAGTGAACGAGGGCCGCGTGGCGACGCTGCTGGTGAGCGACGGGGTGGCCCGGCGGGGAGCCGTGGCGTGGCTGTGCGAGCAGTGTTACCGCGGTCGTGCGGAGCTCGTGGCAGTTCCGGTCACGGCGCTCGCCGGGGCGGGAAAGCAGTTCCTATTTGGCCTCGAAGGGGTGGGTGCTCTTCTGAGTCCTGACGCATCCTCTTGCGTGGCGTCGTCGCGTGATGGCGGCGGCACTGCGGGTACAGGAGCAGCCACAGTACACTAGTCTCTAGGGCCGTTCCGAGGGCAAGGGGGCGTCGCTTTACAGTCACGGCCGGTGACTACGGCGGCCCACTCGCGTTTCTCGTTCGTGTTTAAGAGTCGCTTGAGATCGACCGCGATTCACAGTCAGAGTCGCTACTTTCGAGTAAAGGAGGCGAGTGTGTCGAGGACTTTTGGTGAGTGTGCTGACGGCCAGATGACGCATGACGGCGCATGGCATGCGAGGCAACTCGGAGATCGCATTCAGATTCACCCCGGACACGTGGCAAGGGCTTTCTTCTTTCTGGCGGCATTGTTCTTTGTTGTGGCGGCGGCGCTCCGCGTCGGCGAATGGCCGGGGCGTGCTTTTCCCTATGTCATTTTCTCTCTCTGCGCCTGGGGCTCGCTTTGGCATGGCGCTTCAGTGGGCACTCGCATGCGCAGAAGACAAGACAGGTGTGTGTGTGACGGTCTCGCTCTGCCTCTCAGTCCGGTAGTCGATGTGCGCCCCCGCGGGTGAATTCTTTTTTGCGCCGCATCCGCAAAGCGTCTGCAAAGTGATGATCCGTTTTGAAAAGAAAGAAAGAAAGAAAACAGACAACCCAAGGGAGGGATGGGAGGACGGCACGCCGCCACCACACAGGGATTTTAAGGAGAGGTGTGTGGTGCGCTAGCCGTCGCCCACCCTAGGGAGTCTGCCTCTTCCTATCTCTCTTCGCAGTCTCTCGCCGATTCTCGCTGCAACCTTCATGCCACCTCGCGGTCGTCCCACTCTCGTCGTTCTCTCCCTTGTCACTTCCTCCTCTGTCGCGTCGTTCTCTTCTGCCTCGTCCTGCGACGCCGCCGCCTGCCGGTCCCTTGTTCTCGCGGCTTCTTTCGCCTTTCGGCGCAACTCCGTCCTCCTCGCGGCGTATCCTGGCCCCTCGAGTCTATCGAGCTCCCCTCGCGCAAGGACCACATTTCTGACTCCCACTCCGATCATTTGCCTACAGGTCATGTTGTTGCTCAGGTCCACTCTCGATCCGTTTTGATTCCAGACTGACACCTATTGCGAGATTTGCTTCGAAGTTGGCGAGCTCGGCCGAGCTCCTTCGACGTGCGTCCCCCTGCTGGCCAATCGGGCAAAACCCGGAAAGCGCTCGTGTTTGCGTGGTCAGCCTCACTCTCTGGGTGCGCGCTGCGCGCGGCGCTTGCGCAGCCAGCCCTCGGACCAGAGCTGCCGCGCCCCGCGCCACCGCCGCCCCTTCTCGCCATCCACGCACCGCGACACTGCCGGCATCCGCGGCGCAGCCGCGTCGGCGCCGCCCCCCGCTCTCGCCGACTCACGCCGCTCTGGGCCGTACCCTCGCACCAGGCGGCTATCTCCGCCGATGGCCGAACTCGACGACCTCTTCCTCGACGAAGAGCCCGCGCCCTCGCTCGCCGTCCCCCGCAAGGGCCGCCTGCAGAAGGGCCGCTCCGCGTCGCCCGAGAACAAGCTGCCGCAGCGCAAGAAGGAGAAGCTCGGCCGCAAGCGGCCGGCGGCGGCGGCGCGCTCGGAGTCGGGCTCGGACTCGGACGCGCCGATCGCCGCGCCGAGCGCCAAACCGAAGAAGAAGAAGAACACCCGCCCTCCTCCGCCGAGCGTGTCGGTGTCGTCCGGCTCCGCGAGCTCCGCCGACGAAGAGGGAGCTGTCGCGCGGATATCGGCGAGGGCGA